CCTCTGCCCAGGCTGTGTAAGTAGCAATGGTGACAAGTGAGTTGCTCAGTCTCTATTGATTAAGTAGTATAGGGTAAATAGTGACCAATGTGTAATCAGACTGGACAATGTTGTATATGAGGCAGCTGATGAAAGGTTAGTTAATTTGCATGTTTTGACTTGAAATGGTGACTTGCACATCATCCTAATTGGTACAAAGATTTAATCAGCATAACGTAATAGCTGGTTCTCAGAAAATCAACTGGTAGTGCCCTAATTCTCCTATGTATTTAGCTCTTTTTGCAGTTTTTGTGATTTTTGACATTTACTTCTTAAATAAGGATAATTTTAACAGATGATTCAGGTCGATCTTGAGTTTGGCTTAAGAAAGCACCAGGAAATCCAGGAGGAAAGAAATTGGAAAATTTAAGTGGAATTTTATCTATCCAGAAATGTTGTGATGGATAGAGTTAATGAGTATATACTTACTCAGCACTTTGGCCATAGAGAAAAATAGGGTAAATATATATTGGCAGTGAAAAAAAATATTTACCAACAATGTCCTGTTGTTGATACCTGCTCTTTTCATTGTGCTAATACAACAGTTAGCAGGGCTGTATTGTAAATGAGATCACTCCATGACCTGAATTAAAAGTGAGGCAGTAACAGATGGTTGCAAGCTGTGGGATGGCTATAGGCATGATGAGGAAGAAAGAAAATGCTTAGTTGGTTTTTGACACTAAAGCCAACAAGTTATGTCAACTGTATATTGACCTGCATTGTACTCTAGTTTTGTAAAAATTATGTATTCTTCTCTACAAAAATCAAGGAGTTTTGAAGTGAGAAAAAATAAAATGCTTATAAACATGAAAGATGTAGCTGCCTCACCACTGCCATATCTTAATATTCTTTAAAACATCATATTGAATCATCAGTTGAGTAGCAGACCTGTTAAATTGTGTGTCTGCTCATGTATCTGTATTGTTTAGTGTTGGTAACTGCAGAATTTGAAGTATGGTGTGCTTGAAGAAAAAATTCTATTTTTAAGCTATTTGTCTGTCTTCATGCAGTTGTTTTTTGTATACAAAAATCATTCAGGAAGAAAATCCTTGGAAAATTGCAAAACTTAATAAAAACTGCATCAGATGTAGCTGTGTATTGGGTTAGTGTTGAGGTCGATGGACATCTTACTGAGCTAGGATTTGGAATTTCAATTATGGAAATCTGGAACTTTGCAAGAGGCTCATTTTTAAAACATTGCATCTCAACATAAAGCAATTTGAGAAGTGTGTAGATTATATTCAGTTACTGCAGAAGGATATTAGGGCTGTTATTTTGAAAGCAGACAGCAGGTTTAAAAGGAATTAGAGGAGCTAATGAGCAACAGGGTCCATATGTGATAGTAAAATGATTAGACAGTGCTGCATCCTCTAATGTCCCTGACAATGTGTTTATGGATCCTGAGGATGGTGTCAGATGAAGGCAACAAACATCATTCAGGTTTGTGTTGTCACTAAATAACATCTACAAAATGAAATACTGGAATGGATGGGCCATTGGTCTTGCCAAGGAGAGCACTTGTCATTTTCTCATAATGCAAGTTCTTCTGGTAAATCCTCTTACTTGGGTAGCAGCAGAGTGTTGGCAAGTTCTCTTAACTATGAATCATAGGATAGAGTGAAAGCCACATGAACTTTTAAGTGGAGGCAAGAAAAGTGCATTGTGCAAAACTTAACATCGTTAACTAGCAATGAGTTTTGCATTCTTACCTCTGTAATGAGACTAAAACTACTGAAGCACATCTCTCTGGCTGTCAAGTACTTTGGTTCAACATCAGAGTGTTGGCAAGTTCTCTTAACTATGAATCATAGGATAGAGTGAAAGCCACATGAACTTTTAAGTGGAGGCAAGAAAAGTGCATTGTGCAAAACTTAACATCGTTAACTAGCAATGAGTTTTGCATTCTTACCTCTGTAATGAGACTAAAACTACTGAAGCACATCTCTCTGGCTGTCAAGTACTTTGGTTCAACATTAGGAAC